TGTGTGTGTGTGGTGGGGTGTACAGGGACAATGATGGCATGCTTGGACTTGTAGTTCCTTAGCTGATATATATGTGTGGGGGTGGGGGGGACAGTTCTAGTGGATGTTTATATAATAGGGGGGGGGGCGAAAAAAAATGTTCTGCCCCAGGCGCCAATAACTCTGGTTACGCCACTGGTCAGAAGTGACACTGAGCTACCAGCAAGCTGCTGCAGCACATGTCTGGATCTAGAGATCCAGTGTAAGAATGAGCTACCAGTCAGCTGCGGCAGCAAATCTCCAGGATCTGGGAGTTTTGCATGACACTGCCAGCCACTGATGACAGTAGATCATGATGGATAGGAAAAAAGAAATCATCAGTTGTGGTGTCTATTCAGCGGGTTGGACAGATCCATCTCCTATGGACTCTAAGGCTGGATTCACACCTAAGGCCTGGTTCACACCTAGGAGCTTTTGAGCAGTTTGAAAATTGCTTTTAAATGCCCAACACAAGAAATCCCATGATTTCCAATGGCCGTTTCACACTTGAGCCAGAAAACGCCAAACGCACAAAAAGGTACATGAGCTTCTTTGAGCAGTTGAAAGCGCATTCTTGCCCCATAGACTTGATTGGAATTGCCCAAAAGTGAGCAGCAGAAGCATGTTGCACATTTTCGTGAGCGTTTTGGCGCATTTAAATGTGCGTTCTTCCTTTGCCCGCAATGTTTTATAAGCTGCCAGTCAAAACGCGCATCCTCATGCACACGCGTTAAAACGTGCATAAAAATAAGCACAACGCGCAAATAACCTCATGCAGCTAATGCGTGTAGAAACTCGCAAAAACGGTGCCGCCTAGGTGTGAATCAGGCCTTAGCAACACCTATTCAGCACATTTTATGCACGTCTATTTTTGAGTGTTTTACGGGCGTATGTTAGGTTGCATGTTTTTGTGCGCAGATTTTGGCACATTCATGTCAATGAGCAAAGCGCACGTAATACACATGCAAATAATCGCAACACACATTTTTCAAGCGTTTTCTATTGAGTCTATCAGCCCCAAAGTAGCTCATGTAGTATTTCCTGTGACAGGCATATTTCTGCTTGCGACAAAACGCTGACATGTGCACTGGGGTCATAGACATGAATGGGATTCCTAGTGTTGAGCTGTTTGTTGCACTGATTTACGCGCAACAAACAGCTTAGGTGTGAAGGAAGCCTAAGATAAACTGCTCTGTAAGTATTGTAGCAAGTAGAAAGAACCATGCTTTTTAATTTAACTACTGTCAGACCTCCTAGGAGCAGGGCATATACCCATAAGGACTGCTGTGTCCCCCAATGAACAGAGAGAAAGTGAGAATAAGGTTAATCATAGATATCGCATCATTATTCCCTAATTCATCCCATGCAAAATGTTGTAAACTGTATTTCCCCCTTTGCAGTTAAATTTGAGAAACTGCCAGTATATGCTTGTTATTTGTTCCCACTGACACAACATACTTTCAATTTAAAAAAAAATTATTATGCATCTTTTACTTGTTTCTTTGAAGCAGGTTTATACAAAGGACACTAAAGGCAACTCCCATTGCTTTGAATTGGCAATGTGGAGATCGGAGACAGACTAAGGAGATAGTGCATTCACATGCAATGTACCAATTCTTCTATCGTAAATCATTTGTTAAGACAGACAGGTCTTTACATCTAGCTAACACCTGATAATGAAATCTACTAGCACAGTACAGACAGGGCTTGACTTGTTTTAGAAGACTCACTTAGTGAGTAGACCATTCGAGCCTGACACTGGGAGATCCCTCACTCTTTTCAGTCGCTGGGCGCCACTATTTCCCGGTTTACCACCAGCTTTGTTGTGAAAGGGGTTAACTTTTGATAGACAGAGCCCTGATGTCATTCCGTGGGTGGGGTGTTGCAAGTGTCTGCGTTCTTTCCCACCAAACAACATTGAGGAAGCATTTTGCCGCTGCTGGGCTGGCCTACAGTATTTTGTTTGCCAGTGTCCAATCTTCCTATAGGCAGCAGTATGAAGGATTAAGACTTCCTTGTGTTCCTCAATGGACTCCAAGAAAAGGATTTTATGGCGAGTACAAAAATCCTATTTTTCTTTCTGTTATTCAGACAGTACTTATGGGCACCTCTTTAAGGCAGGCTACTCCCCTCGTCATTAGTTATTCACGCACTGGGTATAAAAGTGACAAACTATGTATATTTTGCATGAGTTATACAGAGACAGATCTGTTTTACAGTGTGTTTTATATTCATATAGAAATATTCTTTTTGATAATGTAACTGTAATGCAATATGATATGATGTTGGTGATTGTTGTAATAGGGGGAGTCTTTTCCATATTTGTCTTCTGTTTCTCACAGTCACATGGTAGTTGATTACCATGGCCTGTGTACTCCTACCGTTTTCTTCCCTTAAATAAAAGATACAGCGGTGCATCCAAAGTCAGTCCCTTTGTTTGTTAGCATCCTTTAGACCAGGGGTCTCAAACTCAATTTACTCGGGGGCCACTGGACAAATATTTTTGTCCCGTGGGGGCCGCTACCATATACAGTACTAGTGTTAATGTATATTACATGCGGCAACTTGCGGGTGGCAGCTGCTGCATGTAAACGCCTGCACACCGCATGTAATCATATGTGAAAGGATTACATGCAGTTAGGAATCAATCACTATCCCTGGATACACAATTGTGCATCCAGGGATAGTGATTGTTTTTGTAACTGCATGTAATCATATCACATACAATTACATGCGGTATGCACATGCAGCAGCTGTGACCTGATCATTAACCTGAATGGGTGACAGTTGCTGCATGTAAATGCCAGATGAGGGATTCCTGTGCAGGAAAGTGCAAGTGTGTGACACAGGAATCCCCAATTGCAGCTGAAATATAATTCCCTGGTGATCTAGTGGTGATTAGTAAGGTCTAGTGCAGACCTTACTAATCATCGTTCGGCCGTAGCTCAGAACTGTCAGAGCTTCGCCTGGAGCTGACAGAAGCAGCTCTGCAGTCTGCATCTGACAGAGATGCAGACCGTGTAGCTGCTCCCGCAAGTCAGGCACACGGTCCGTGTGCCCGACTTGTCTGCTGGCTGCGGGCCCTTTAGTACGGGTACTTTGAGACCCCTGCTTTAGACCATTTATGTCAGACAATTCTACTGTTATTCATCAGTCTAGGTATGCCCACATCCTTACATTTTTTTTAGATATGCTATCACATTTTACCAATTTTACTTAAATCCGCTAGATATAGCCTCCACAAATTTATTTGAACTCTATTTGCACCCTGGATTTTGAAAATTTTAAAGGTACAGTGAAGATGACCTAAAATTGCAATAAGGCATTTGCTTTAAAGTCACATTAAAGGCTAACCCCCCCCCCCATGTTATTGTATGTTAGTGTAGGGACTTACCTTTAAATCATGCCTCTTAATCCGATCATCATCTTCTTTAGTGTAGTTATCAGATGGCCCTCCAGCGCTGTGGCGGGTCTCCGATCCAGCGCTGACTCCTCTGTCCTCCTCTTCTCTGATGTCCCACAGGGTCTGTGCGGGTGCACGCTGCTGCATAGACTTACCTTGTGTCTCTCCTCGTCTCCCCGCCGAACATCTGAAGTGCGCATGCGCCCTCCCCAATATCCTTTGCAGCCGCCCGAGACTCTACAGATGTTCGGACGGGACCACACAGCTAAGACACAGGTAAGTTTAAACCTGTTTGAAAAGGTTTGTTTTTTAAAAGTTTTTGCATATATCTACTGCCTGCTAGTAGATTTATGCAAAAACACGCTGAGGGTTTAATAACCCTTTAAGGATGCTTCCCTTTATGCAGGCTATACACATCAAGTGTGGAAGATATTAAGAAATAATATGGGCTCCAATAATGTCTTAGTCAAAAGGCACATAGATATGCATATGTTTATCCTGTTACTTTGGAAGCATCCATGTCCCCATAACCCCTTGTTTCCTCAGCAAAGTCCACCTCTCCCCCAGTGTCTGCTCTACTTTGGTTTCTGTCACAGCTCTTGCCACATTGATGGCAGTAGCATATCTGGCATCCAACACACTTTGTTCTCTGACCCATTAATGTGAAAAAACTGTTTGCTCAGAATTTTAGCTGTCCATAAAAAAATTATAAATATGTGCATACAATAAATAGCATATGCAGAAACGCACATGTACATGTGTGTTTGGATATATTATTTGAAGTATCAGGGACCAGGAGATGTCCTTATAGGTTTCCTATAATTTGATCAATGTATAATCTTTTTTTTTTTTTTTAGATAAAGCCGGATGTTTTTTGTTTTTTCCCCCCTAGCATTAAAGGCATTCTAGGTCTCTATCCCTCATTTCAAGGCAACACCTTCCACAACCTGTAAACTGCTTAAATGATTTAAAATCCCCACCTTTCATCCATCAGTTTTGTCTCAAATTCCATTTTATCTAATTTGGATTTTAGTGAAGCTACAGTGTCGGTCTTCTTTTGTAAGGCAGTTTCTGCTTCCAACACAAAAAAAAAAAAAAGAAGTTATTAACCAGATACAACATCATACATTTTCATTGCAGTGAAATTCATTGCAAATTTGCACCATAATGTGATCTTTTTTTGTTCAGGGTGACTTAAAGCAGTCCCATTATGTAGTTGTGTTCAATAGAGGCATTTCATAGAGGGTTCCCTCTTTAGTTGCTGGGAATCTCCTATAAAATTACAAATATATATTTTTTAGGTATACTTACTATGACTTTTTGGCACATTTGAAGGTTAATAGATTTTACATCATCCAACTGTTTCCGTAGAACTATTAGAGTATCTTGTTTTTCATGAATATCTTTTTCAAGCAGTTTCATGGCCATTTCCATTTCTGTCTTTATTGCAAACTGAAGATCCAGCTCTTTTTCTTGTTCCTAACAAAATCAGGGAAGAACATCATTTTTAATATATAAAGTAACTGTGATTTTTACAAATCAAGATTGCATGGTTAGGATATTAAACTCTGTTATCATTGAATGTCTTCTCTACCACCAAATGGGCAGCTCTCAGGGTACCTACAGCTACAGGTTTTATCTGGTGACAACAGAAATACTTTGGTCCATTGTGGAAAAAATGGTCCCTCTCTCTACAGTAAGACAATGGAATCCCATCTAACAAAGTATGTGGTCAAGTGACTACCTGTCATGAAAAACACTCTATGGGCATTAGCACAATAAAACGGGTCATGTAATGATGCTAAATCTACTTACGTCAAGGATAACACACCACTAACAAAGAAAAATGTTGATTGCACCAAGTTTACCATTTTGATTTATCTTCCCAGCTTTATTTTGGAGAAGGAGAATGAATGACCCGTAAATTCCCAAATGCAGATGTGAATGTTGCTAATATGTTAATTTTATCCATGATGGGGCACATCTATACACACACACACAAGTATATATTGCTTCTTATTGCTGAAGAGCTTCTGCAAGCATTAGACATCAACAAGCAGCTTCATTGAAGTTGCGGCCTTTAAGAACACTGTAATGTACATCTATGAAAGTTTAAGTATAGTTATATGTTAGCTGATCAACTGCTGTTTAAATATTGTGAGCATCTGCAATTCTCATTTCATTTCTTCATTACAAACTCTTGAGGTTACTCACTTACCAGTCGGGCTTGTTTTTCAAGTTTTAGTTGCTTCAAAATTTCATTGTACATTTCATCAAGTCCTTGACGTGACTGTTTATAAGTTTCCAATTCAACTTTTGTATCCTGAAGATTTAACTTTGAAACATAAAAAGCTTCTGTTAAGAATGACACCTGCCCTACTACTTTGAAAAAGAGAAATTAATCTCACTTGCTACACAAGTTGCATGAAGATACTTATAGATAACTTAAGCTAGCTATACATATACTGTAGATATTCTCATGTCAGCTCATGGGCTAAACAAGAGAAAAATCATTTCATTCCCCCCATCCACTATAAACAGCATGGATGAAGGAATATACATGCTGGCTATTGTATCAAGGCAGTTGTGTCACCCAAGGCAGCCTGAATACCAAAACAGGGACTGCATCTGATTGGATGCAGTCACTGTTCAGATGATTTTTAAATGGACGATTTTTAAATGGACGTTT